GTGAAACCCTAGTTTCACTTGGGCCTTTCGATCGGGTTTTGGTAATTGGGCCAATAATGGGCCATCCAAGAATGATTATATGGACTAGAATATTTATATGGGCTTTCAGGTGAGGCCCATATGAGGGTTTGGGCCTAATTTAGAAAATTGGGCCATAGAGAGGCTATAGTTTGGGCCTTGATGATTATGAGATGTTGGACCAAGAATGAATGATTGGGCCTTAAGGCAAGACTATGTAGAGGTTTGGGCCCAATTTGGAAAATTGGGCCATAGTTGGGCCTTGGTCCATTATTAGACTTTTGGGCCTTTGGTTTGGGCCTTGGGCTGGAGTCAAGCTAAGATAGGGGTAAAGTAGTCTTTTACCCAAGTATGGACTTATGGTTATGAGTTGGAACCCAATTATTAATTGGGTGTTATTTTGGTGTTGACAGTTCGGGAACCTGTCATCCAGCAACTGGGGTTGAGTCTGCAGGATTTCAGTAGTGTGGGATTGCGTCTACGGGACTTCAGCAGTGTGAGGTGAGTTTCCTTTCACTAGGAACGGGTCTACGGCCACAATGCCGGCCCGTTTAGTTAGCAGTAGTTCCGGACTTCGGTCCGATGCAGTAGTTCAGTGTGCTTGATGTCTTTGTGATTCAAGCATGTCTTTGTGTTATGTGTTCCGGACTTCGGTCCGATGCAGTATGCAATATATGTGTTGATGCTAGTAGTTATGATTATGCTATGCTATGTTCAGTCAGTTTCCGGACTTCGGTTCGATGCAGAGGGCAAGGCCCTGGTTAGTTCCGGACTTCGGTCCGATGCAGTTTCCGGACTTCGGTCTGATGCAGAGGGCAAAGCCCTGGTTAGTTTCAGACTTCGGTCCGATGCAGTTTCCGGACTTCGGTCCGATGCAGTTTCCGGATTTAGGTCCGATGCAGAGGGCAAGGCCCTGGTTAGTTCCGGACTTCGGTCCGATGTAGTTTCCGGACTTCGGTCCGATGCAGAGGGCAAGGCCCTGGTTAGTTCCGGACTTCGGTCCGATGTAGAGGGCAAGGCCCTGGTTAGTTTCGGACTTCGGTCCGATGTAGTTTCCGGACTTCGGTCCGATGCAGAGGGCAAGACCCTGGTTAGTTCCGGACTTCGGTCCGATGCAGTTTCCGAACTTCGGTCCGATGCAGTGGGCGAGACTTAGTATGTGCTTTATATGTTATTGTATGGTATGTGGTAGTTGGGGATACTCACTAAGCTTCGTGCTTACAGTTTTCAGTTTTGGTTTCAGGTACTCAGTTTTTAAAAGAGGAGCTCGGAGAGATTGCAGTGCACACACCATTTGTTCAGCCTGGGATGTTTATACTCTGATATACATAACAGTTGTTATATTATTCTGAGATACATTGTTGTGATTTTTCTAAGACGTATGATGACTATGGTTTTATTACTGATTTAAAACGAAATTTTCAGACTGTATTTTTGGGATGTTACAATTAGAGATGTCCCAACGAGATGGAACTCTATGTACCGTATGTTGAAGATTGCTGAAGTTGCTGAGAAAAAGTTTTGAGAGATATGAACTTAAGGAATTTGATTTTCGGATCGATATTGAAAAGAAGGTTTTGTCGATACCTTCACCCAACGATTAACACCCGGTTAGCTATTTATGTCATTTTTAAAAACCATTTTGCGATGTTATTTTGAAGGTTTTTGGAGTCATTGTATGTGACATAAAAAACATGCATTCAACATATTTATTCCATTTGTATGCTCTTCAGCTCTTGGATGATGTTATTTGTGATGCTAGCGAGTCTTTGTGATATTGCAATGACTATTAAAGTGAAGTTTGATAAGTATTTTGGCGACATACGAAAAAATGATTTTATTGCTATATTTTTCTTTGATTATTGACGTGAGAAACATAGTAAAATATTTGCTTATACTACTTACTTGGGGATCGTTATAGAGAAAAAGAGGTGGATGCCAAAAAGAAATGTATAATGCATTCTATCTATGAATTATATATATTATATTAGAATTCATTGTCCAAGTTATACTTCTAGTACTAACGAGTCTGCTATGTCATCGTCGATTGTAGGGAAATGCCAAAACCCGGATGATACGACGCCAAAACCCCCATTGAAAATTAAACTAAGAGAAATATGAAAATAAACATAAACGAATCAATTGGTGAGTTAGAAAAGTATTTGAAAGAAAATTTTGAACACAATTCGCAAATGTTTAATATTTTAGATTGGTGAAAAATGAATAGTCATGGTTTCACGATTCTATCATTGATGGCCATATATGTGTTCGCCATTAACCTCCCAACGGTGGCTTTAAAATCGATTTTAGCACTAGTGGGAGGGTTTTGCATCCGTTTAAGAGTTCTTTGACTCATAAGATTGTTGAAAGATTAGTTTGTATCCCAAATTAGTTTTGGGGTAATACAAGTGACAAGCTCGATTTTGAACATGACTGAGAAAAAAATATAACAAATTGATAAAGATGGTTGTTTATCTATATTTATTTTAACATTTTTACATGTTATATTTTACATTTTTAGTGCTTATATTATTTGAATCTTTTATACGGAATTGTGAGAAATTAGTACGTTTAATCAGAACGAATTGGATAAAAAATATGAGGATGACAATATGAAGATGCAAGAAAAATGAATATTAGGTATGGGTTTTACTATATTGTTTGGGTTGAGTTTGACTTGTTTGTTTGGGTTAATGGAATATGCAATTTAGATGAGAAGTGAATAAGGCCACATGGGGTTTATAATTCTTTGCTTGGTGTTTTCAATGCGAATAAAGAGATTAGAATACAGCCACATGGGCCGTTACTGTTAAAAAGGTTTGATCCATTTTAAACAGTTCTATATTGACAATTAATTGAAAACACTTTACATATTACAATTATTTTGTAATGACTCAAGTAATCATTTTTTTATTGTTTGAACTATTTTTTACCCTCTATTTTTATAATTACAAAGTTTGAAAAAACAAATACATAAGATAGGAACCTATTTTGGAAACCCTATTTATCTTTCACCCAAAAACTCAACAAGTTTTTTAGGGTAATCAGACAAAATACATGAACCGTATATCCGAATTTCAATACAGTTTGGTTATCAGTTTATTTTATTTTTTAAAAACCGAAACTACCACAAACCTAAAAAATATACCCAATCAACACCAATAGTCAAACCTAAAAACTACCCGAAAACTAAAAAATATACCCAATAAACCAATCAACACCATAGTCTATTCCTTACATAAATACATTAATCATTGATATGGGCTAATTCGGATCTATTTGAAAATTGCAATTGAACCATTAAAGGCCCCATTTTAAATAGCTTGATCCGTGTCTTGAAATTGGTCCATAGTTTCAGTTTTCTGCAAAATTATTAATCTACATTACCAATTTCGTACAGCCGGTTTATTAAAAAGAATTCTTTTCCCAAAAAAGATAATAACATGGTAGTATTGTTATCATAAACAACATGATCGAAATCCATCAAAACACATTCATAACATCAATATACATTAAAAGTCCTTTACAAATAAATGAGAGAAAATAAAGTGATGGTTAATCAATGGGCTAATGACATAAAAGCCCTTGAATTTTCGAAAAATTGTTGGTTTTTACCCTTTGAGTTTTTTTGGGTTTATTAAAGCCGCGAACTTGTATTAATTTTCGCATTTTAGCCCTTTTAAAGGGTTACCCGGTCACTTGAGCAAGGAGGGACCGCCATGTCAGCAATGACTGTGTACTGCGCTGATTTGTTATTGCTTCATGAAAACCAAAATATGCACGGCAAAATGCCAAAGCCGGGATTCGAACTTTGGCGATAAGGATTGACATCAACCGAGTTTACCACTACGCTGGAAAGCTTTTTGTTTATTCAAGTCTAACCTTTACTTAATATAATGTATAACGCCGATCATTATTATTTTTTGATAGAACAATTATTTTTTTGATATTGTTATTATTATTATTTGATAGTGTTATTATTATTTGTTTATTTTTATATATTTTTATAAATATATACATATAGTTTTAAATATGTTTTTACTATATATATAAATATTTTTTAAATCATATGTATACTCTTAAAAACATTTTGACGTATAAGATGTGTTAATATATCAAAAATTGTATTTATTTGTATTTAATATGTATAAATACATTTTTAAATATAAAATATGTTTTTCACGATATACTAACGTTTTCAAATATAAAAATACATACTTAAATTTATAAGCTTTTAAATGCATACTATTTTTAAAAATATAAGTAATGTTTTTTGCATATAACATTTTTATTTGAAAAAAATACATATTCAAATGATAAAATTCACATAATATTTATATATAAATAATGGTTTTTTTATATATATTTATACGTTTTTATATATATTTATATGAAAAAAATACACATTTAAATGATAAAATACAAATATAATGCTAAAAAACGTTTTTAAAGGTATAAAAATATTTAAAGGTATAAAAATATTTAAAGGTATTTCTATGTTTAAAAATTTTATTTAGACATTTAATTATGTATTTATATATTTGAAAACATGTGTATACATTGTAAAACATATTTATACATTTAAAATATATTTATACATATTAAATACAAATAAATACAACTTTTTAATGCATTAACTACATATTCATTTGTATAAATACGTTTTTGAAAAATATACATATGATTTCGAATATATAAATACATATTTAAATATAAAAATATGTTTTTTGCGTATAAATACTTTTAAAATATATTTATGTTTTTATAAACATATTTTTTAGCTTTAGAAAAAAATATTTATATATTTAAAAACATATTTAACAATATATATTTAGATTCATAAAAATATATAATATAAACAATAATAATAATAATCAAAATCAAAATAATAATCCAAATATTCAAAGAAATATGATAATTATTATCAGTGACATATGCTATATTGAAATGGTTAGCCATAAATAAACAAAAAGCTATACAGCCTAGTGGTAAAGTGTGTCGTTTGCATTAATTTCGCCAGAGTTCGAAACCCGTAGGCTACGGTTCTTATCCGACTGTGTTTTTTTAATCAAATAACACCTCAGCGCTTTGTCAGCAAAGAGTGCATAGTCAGCGTTGATGTGGCGTGCCATCTGTTCAGATGACCTGCAAGCGTTTTTTTAATCAAATAACACCTCAGCGCTTTGTCAGCAAAGAGTGCATAGTCAGCGTTGATGTGGCGTGCCATCTGTTCAGATGACCTGCAAGCGACCGGCAAACCGTCTAAAAGGGCAAAAATGCAAAATCTAAACCAAATATGCGGTTTTAATGAACCTAAAAAACATAAAAGGGTAAAACCAACTATTTCTTGAAAACTTAAGGACTTTTATGGCATTAAGCCTTAATCAATCATGTGAAATCAGAGATTTTTATAATCACTGTAATTAATTAGGTATTTAATTTGATTAATTCGCTGTCAATTTTAAGCCTTGGAGATTATTTAGAAGTTAAACAAAATCTAGTTTTGATGAATACTTGATTGCTTTTAGTGTTATTAGTTATTACTTTCGTTCCACATCAATCTCCAAATAAACTTTCGAGTAAATTACACGAGTGGTCCCTGTAGTTTACGGAAACTTGCACATAATGCATCTATCCATATGACATTCTGAAACGAAACCCTACAAATATACAGATGATTCGATGACTCAATATAAGATGAATACTCACAGGAAGCTAGGGTTCTAAGGATGATGATATCAATAAAATGCTTATGTGATTCATTACCTAACAAAACAATTACACTACATCGCCTAATCTAGAGTAAATTGTTCATATTCCTCATATCTAATTACTAATATTGCAGGTATTAATTCCTCGATGATCATATTGAGAAAAAAAAAACAATATAAAGTGGATCAAGGAGAAATCATATATGTATTATTTACTACAAATAATATAAAATCAAGCCTTAGATCAAACTGATTTATTTCTTTTGGATAGCTTGTGGGCATGGTACTTGATCTTCAACCAATTGACACCGGCGGAGGCACTTGCTTTGATTTTCTTAGCGCCGGAGGCGGCAGCCACCTTCGTCTTATGGAATTTTTGACTCATCTTCTTTGAAAATTTACCGGAACTTGAATAACTGACGACTTTCTTCGATGGTAGAACTTGTTTCCCCCATGGATTAACGTCGGTGGCATCCATTCTTGTTGATCTGTAACGTAATCTCTCTCGAAGATCTGAGATGAGGAAGATGACAAGGGGTTTTCATTATCGGGTTGATTTTACTATATATAGTAAAATTATTCCATTGCTTTTTTACCTTTCTACCCTCGTTAGATCTATTGATCTAAATAGAATATGCATCTTGCGGCGAAAACCAAGGAAAAAAAAGTCAAAAACAATACCTTATCTTTTTATCTTTTTTAAGATATCCTAGTTTTAGATTAGGACACTTTGAGCTACTAACATTATTTTCGGCTTAATAATAAATATAGAAGATTCGGTAATCAAATTAAAAGCTCATTACTTTTTTAGTTCACAGCAAATTATATTTTGTTCCATGAATTTTACTAAGGTTATCTTTGATACGTGAACTAGTTTAATTTTCGAGGTGTTTTTTAGGATGTTGATAAAGACAAAAAATAGTTTATAACTATCCCTCTCATAGTTCTTTAAATACAATTCATCTCTTCATAACCAGGGGTGGATGCAAGTGACAGGGAGGTGCCCCAATGGTTTTTTTTTTTTAATTAGACTAGGCCTAATTTTGGAATAAATTATTTATATAACATAAGGTGCCCCCAACCAACATCAAAATATAAGTTTATTTTGTTGGGCTAAAAGTCTTAGGGACATTGGGCTAAATGTTACGGTGAGTCCACAAATCATTGTTTTTTTTGGCTAACTTTTTTCAGCAACTAACACCGATATGTTGGAAAAGAAACAAAAAAAGAAAAACTTCTTCCCTTTATTCTCTTCTCTCCTCCCACACAACAACCAAAGAAGTGTTTCTTTTTTGTCATCGTCCATTAATAAACAAGCCACCAAGTACCAACATCATTAGAGTGAAGGGTGTCATGTCATGGTTCTATCATGGTAAAGACTCTCCACCTCACTTTGACACCATATTTATCACATACAAGGAGTGGTGTACCCAAAGAAGAAGAAATTAAGAGAGAGAGAGAGAGAGAGAGAGAGAGAGAGAGAGAGAGAGAGAGAGAGAGAGGAGCCACACTCGGAACCACACACCCGACGTGATGTTTGTCATAGATGAGGCGGCGAACCGCGGTAGGAACCGTAGCCACACACACCAACCTTAATTCTAAACTTGTGGGCCTAACACATTAAACTCTTCTTTTGTTTTCTTTTAGGTAATTTTGTAACCTAATTTTAACTTTTGCATTTTGAAATTATAAGCCCTTAGTTTCTAGTTATATGTTGTTATAGTTCATTATTGACTTAGTTTATAAATTATGAGTTTCAATTTTGAATTTGTGGGGGTTTTTAATGTATATTTGACAGTTGGAAACTACGAGCATAGTGAACTTTTAAACATCAAACAATCAACCCAATTACCCATCCCCATTATCTTCTTTGCTCTTAAGGATCTACCATAAGAATCAGCTATTCCTCGTTCATTTATTCCTAAGGATTATCCTAAGGAATCGACACGAAATCCATCGTTGCCAGGGTTTTCTCAACGGGCACTAAATCCATAGTTACCAAGGTTGCTCAACAGGCGCTAACTCCATAGTCGCCGGGGTTTACTCAACAGGCGCTAACTCCATAGTCGCCGAGGTTTATCTCGTTTATTGACAATATCGTTTTCGATAGTCCACTCGCAATACATGTCAATGGGTTTTTAGAGTACACCGGTGAACACATCGTTCACAACACCTACAGGTTGCGAGCCTGCTAGTGTTCCACTGGACTGTCTAGAATAGTCCATGGTTGTCATCCATACTCTGCTAGATGACGGGGCCAACATTTGGGAACAAGGCTTCTCACATCGTCCACCTCTCACCCTTACCTCATGGTCTATATCACCTCTCAACTCATCATCCAACTCATATTTCATCTACCCATGTTTTACCCAACATATTATGTAGATATAAATATATATACAGTTTAAATCATATAAAACTTGTATAAAACCGTTCATCCAACATAGATAGCAAGTATACAAATAATATGCACACATAGCACGTAGTTTATATAAAATACTTCATATCTATGTGTAAGATGAAAGTAACTATGCACTCACTTGATAAGGTGGTGACTCGGTACTCGGACAACGCTTCGTTTACTTTACAACAACTCCTTTGACAGAACCTAAGCGTTAAACAATACTCTTCACCCACTATGTACAGACAGGGGCCAGACATGAAACACCGGAGGGCAGAATCATTTTGGCATATAGCACTTCTGAATCCAGCAACCCAAGCGGCCCTCCAAACCAGATTCCCCGTACCGTGAGTGGTTAAAAAGATATTATAACGACACTTATATAACTCATAATAATAGCCCAAATACTCATTATAAGTTCCTAATAACATTACTATATTGAAACAAAAGCTATACTAAAGATAGGTTAGGTGTAGCTCACTCACAGCGGGTTTTCTCGAAAACCGGGCTTCGCTGGAGCAGCGTTCCCGAGCCAAAAGGCTCTTTTCTCGGGGCTTCCTTCGGGTGCTATGGGGTTTACCTAGGCTTAGGGGGGTTTTAGGGGCTTAGAGAGAGAAAGTAGAGAGAGAAAGTGAAGTTGGGAAGGTGTGAAGAATGAGGGAACTCGGCACCTCTATTTATAGGCTGGAATCCTGCTCTACTCATCGAGTAGAAGGTCCTACTCGTCGAGTCCATGGCCAGGTGTCACCACCTGGTGGCTTGCCTTGGGGAGAAAGCCTTGGCCCATATTCAGCCATGTCACTCGATTTCGCACAACACCCTGCCGACTTCTAAACCCCGTAACTTTCGCATACGAGCTCCGTTTTCGACGTTATCTATATCCACGCGTAGGTAAAAAGAAGACCTACAACTTTCATTTAGACTCCGTCGGATAATTCTCGACCGATCTTAAATTTAACGGTAGGAGGAGATTAGACTGTTAAATTACCGCGAAGAAATCGTAACTCCTTCATACGGACTCCGTTTTCGTTTGTCTTTTTATCGTTGAGTTCCTATTAATGAGATCTTCAAATCTCATTTAGGTTGTGTAGGCCAAAAGCCGCTCGAACTAAAATTCGAGTTTCGGGCCGTGCACTGCTATGCCAAATCTTAGAAAATTCATAACTTCCTCATACGAAGTCAGATTTGGGCGTTCTTTTTTTGTTTGTTCTCGGTTTAACATATACAACAACTTTTGTTTAGATCACTAAGGGTAAAAAGTCATCTATCGTAAATTCACTATTTACATCTCCCGGTGCCGTGTCGGTTTTGCCGCGAAACTTCGACGGGTCATAACTTCTTCGTTATAACTCGGATTTCGGCGTTCTTTATATGTACGGAACGCTTGAGACATATTATACAACTTGGTTATGATTATTTATTCTAAATAATATTTTGTCGAAAAGTCGTGTTCGACCCCTATTATCTCTAAATTGACTAGCCCGGATCTACGGACATTACAATTATCTCCCCTTAGGATGATTACGTCCCAGAATCATCAACGAAACAGGGCTCACATGATGACTCCATACGTTATCTCTTCATCCTAAGTAATAATTGTAACTTTGATGTTTCTTCGAACGAGTATCTAACTCTAAGACTTCTTGACTGTAGGCGGTGCCCGATCTTGGACCCGCTCTCTATCTCATGTTAGACTTCCAATCGTGATCTTCATTTCACGATCTCGATCTTTATTGGAGACTCCTTCTTTAACAAACTTGAGATAAGTTTCTTCCTTCGATTATCATAATAGACTGATGGGTCATGTTCTAATGACCTCTCATCGTATGATGCATTGCTTGGACTCAAGTCTTTTTAGAGTCAAATTCCAGAACAGACTATACCTTCCTTCATGTTCTAATCACATATTAAAAGGTAGCATTTCTAGCTACAAGCAACTATCGCGATACCTCTACCGATCGCTTTGATTATCTTTTATTTCAATCTTCCGGCTTAAGTCAGATGCTTCATCAAACTTGGTTCTCTGAACCACGTAACATACTCATCGTAGTCAAACTCAATTCGATATGACCACTAGGGTCGGAATAAAAATCATCTTCTTAGTCATTACTGAAACGATGGTAACGACATATTTGAATAAAACGGTATCAATTACTAGCTTCTTGGTAACCTTGTAACTTTCCCTGATCCAAGCGTGAGTCCTGTGCTTCCGGTAGTATAGGCCTCTACTACCTTTCACACCTACTCATACTCGTCCCAAGTATTGTCTCGCAGTTCTCCAAGTCATTATCACAAAAACAATTTTAACACATACAAATGTGTTCAAACAATCATAAAATTTTCCCTAGACTCTACTAGGACTTCTTCCATGCGTATCTTCAATCATCAACTCTGCTTCAACTCGGTTGGTGATGGAAATGTCAGACGATGGGATAACTTCATGGATTATACCAAAAATCTTTCTTTCTGCTAATCGAAAGTGTACTTCTCCTATACTAGACGTATTATTTATTAGACATATTATTTATTAGACGTATTCTAAAGGCAAGATATCACTCTTACGATATCTTCCGATAGGTATCATTGACTATCGTAAGCCTTTTCATTTCCTCCATTTACTCAATTCTCTACGAGTCTTCACCGTGATGCAATGTTCACGGAAGCATGCGTTTAGTGCATCGAGACGAGAATATAGATAGAGAAGGTTTAGACGCGTAATTTTCCTTATTACTCCGAAAAGTTACATGCCAGTTCTAATATCGTAATTAAACGTTTAGAAATCTGAACACATAAAAGTTCCAGATCCGGTCGGCAACAGACCATAGACCCGATCAGACGATAGCATCATAAAGCATCACAAATCATTTAGCACATAAAAGCATGTTAGGCATTTTCCCTAAATAAGCTAGTGCTTGTGTCTATTCAGGTGTACTACCTAATATATTAGACACACTCCTCACGATCATCGCTTAGCATTCAAAGTTTAAGTCTAAAAATAAATCCTTATTCCTAGTTCGCTTAAAATAATGCTCTGATACCAACTGTGACATCCCCATTTTCACGGCCAGAAAAGACCG